TGATCAAAACCGAAAGTTTCTGTGATGACTGCCCTTGTACTGTTCACCATATAAGAATTTATTCACTATGTAAGAATTCGTTCACCATGTAAGAACTTGTGAACTTGTTTGTTATGCTTCAGAAGATTGGAGACTGACGAGAATTAGGCTTGAGATGGATTACTGATTGTACATTGAGCATTGACCCCCCCTATACTGAATTTTATTGTTGTTAACAACCATTTGATCAGTAACTATGAGAGATGCCCTCTCAAAAAAAATAATAAACAAAAAAAACCAGGGTGAATTAAGTACTTACAGGCTACTGTGGTTTGGAATAACTAGGAATGCTAGATGAAGCCATAAAGTGAGTAAGGTAATGTAAAATGAAGCCGCAATTTGTCAAGAAACTAGATTTCTGATATTTGTATGTTAGACTTTAAGCAGAAATTTGAAACTAAGGATAATCCTTGATTTAAATATATTGATTACCAGATAAAAACAAAGCCAGGCTTGGTTTATATCATAAAGGAATAATTGCTATGATAATCTCTCCTCATTTTTTCCATGTATCTTTATCTCTGTGCTTTCACAAGTTCTTAATTTTCTTTTTGAATAAGTGACATGATGAGACCTTAAAAATGAGGTCAAAAGATACAGGAGTGAGAAAGGGGGAAAGAAGTGATAGTTGTCCTAGCAGGTAAGAGGAGACTTGACATAAGGGCTTGGATTGGGATGTAGCAGGAGAAACAAAGAAGGTGGACTAAATGAAATAGGGAAGTATGATTTATAAAGCCTAATATCATACTGTTCATTAACAGGAAGAGAGAAGCTGATTTTTCAATTTCAAACCTGGGTGACTGGGGGAATGGCGGTCTTATTAATAGAAAAAGAACTTAGAGGGAAGAACTAATTTGAGAAGGATGTTAAGTTCAGTTTAGGTGTTGCTGGGACATAAAAATGGAAATGTTGAGTAAGAAGTTAGAAATAGGTTTGGAATTTCTAACTAGATATTTCTAACTACATAAATTTCTAACTAGATAAAGCTAGAGATTTAGATTTGAGAATCCGCTCTGCAGAGACGAGTCTGTGAGGCTGGGTGAGAATCTACAGAGGGAAAGAAAACAACAAATAAAGGAAAAGATTAAGAAGCACAGTTAGTTACTTTTATATAAAATAATGGAAATTTCATAGATAGAAAATTATGGGGACAGAGTGAGAAAAGTAAGAACCAGACAGTGGTGCCTAAAAGCTAGCACAAGAACTCCGAGATGCAAGATGATGGAGACAGGCTGACCTGTGCCTTGAGAGCCACAGGTGCTAAGACGTGAGCATGGGCCAAGCTGCTAATAAGCTCTCAGAATAGTGTCAGTAAACCCAGAAGGGCACACAGTCTGTTTGTTAGGGATTTAAAATAACTGGTAAGTCAACTTTCAGTAGTTATGAGGAAGAAGAATTAGGGCCTTGACATAGGAGCTGGCAGATGGTAGGTGCCCGCCTCATTCGGGACAGCACAGACACAAAGGGGAGGAGACAGACCTGATCTCTGGCACAGACAGAGCCTGAGTCTCACAGGCGGAGGGTGGGGGTGTGTGTGTGTGTGTGTGTGTGTGTTTAGTGGGGGGCTGTGGGTTGAAGTATATAGTGACAGATATGCAAAGTGCTGTGAACAAGGAGTTTAAATGGGGAGAGGATACATGGACACATGGGATTAAGTGGTGCCTTGAGAAGACAGAGTGGAAGCTCTTATGGTAGTAAGGCCAGAGTAAGGAAATCTTATTTTGGTGAAATGAATGGTATTTTACTGTGTAGCTCCTATTAACCAAAATTTCCGGTCTAGCCCCTATTTATTGAGAAAAAATTTCTATCAGATTTGACAACAATGTTTGCCTCAGGTAGTGCCAGAGGCAGCAGCCAGTGAACTGTCGTCTGGTCTATGCACTGTACCACGTCACTTCTATGCTCTTCGTAAAATCCTATATCCCTGGGGAGAAGGAACCCATTCATTACCCTACTTCTTGTATTTTACTAATGACACTAACACAAGCATAATAAAATGGCAGAACTTAGAAATAAAATTATTTAAGAGTTAACTCCATCAATATACAGAGTAAGAAATAGATGAACTGATCATACATTACCAGTGTTTATATACATACTTCAAAATCACAAAGTAGATCCTGGAACGCAGTTGAATTTGGAATAATGGAGGTTTCATGTCCACTATCAACAGTTCCCACCAAGGAAAAAGTCAGATGGAGAATGTGGCTGTTAAGAAGGGAGCGTTTCTTCTTAAGCAGCATTGCCAGCAACTAAAGGAGAGCAAAACCAAATGCCTGTTGTCAATCATTCTCTATCTGCAGATAGAGATATACATACTGAAGAACCCTATGGAGAGCAATTCCTGAGATTCCTAAACTGATTTCTATATTTTTATTATGGCAATATAGCATTAGAGGAAAGCAGGGTAACCCCATCACTTTATTACTAAAATATCCACTTTTACATAAGCCCTTTGAATTTACATGTAAGTACTTAAATTGTGGCCATTATGTGTATACAATTATCTACTGTTTTTCTCTACCTAACATTTTATCAAATGGATTTTTTCTTTTGCAACAGTCTTCATAATTACAATTTTAAAAGATTGAATGATATTCTATGGGATGGTTAAACTACTATTACTTACACTCTGTTGGAACATTTAAGTCATTTCTATTTTTTCATGATAAACAATGCTGCAATAAAAATTTTTTAAGTTTTGCAAAACAAAACGTCTACCAAAGTAGTGTGGTTAAATGTACTAAAAACAGTAAACTGTTTAATGGTTGTTTCTCTTCTAGTAAATAACTTTCTGCCTAAACCTACTAGAGATTGTAGATACATGAACACTGCATATTTTTTATCCCCCGAGTTTTCAGGAATAGCAATGCCACACACATTATATAGTGGCTCTCAGATCCCCTAGCAGGGTACAAGATGACCGGGTATAGAGGGAAGAGACAAGGAAACCATGGAGAGTTACTACCGATTTGGTGGCAGTATCTACAGCAGGATACATGGACACATGGACCATATTTCATTTTCACTCCTACTTCCATAAAGAAAAGTAACTGCAACTAACAAAGAGTTGTTCTAAAAATATATTCAAATACATCAAAGCTACATGGAAATAATGAACCCTAATTCAAAGGTTTATTAAGTGAGATTTGATGAGATAGGAGAAAAAGGATGAATCAAAATAAAAAAAACAACTAATCATCTCATCTGAAGTATGTGAGTTTTATTAAAAGCTACTGACTTTCTAAGTTTTCTTGGACAACACAATTCTTCCAGAGTGTGAAAAGGTATGAATAATAATGAAAATTGGGAGGTTTTTTTTTAATGCAAAATTAAGTGAAAACAAAGCTTTATGCTTACAAACCTGGTAGCCCTTGATTCTTTCCATTTCTTTGCTGGCTAATGGGTTACTCCTGACCACACAAACCAGGGCCTTGACAGCTGCATACAGCCCTTCCACATCGGAGGCCATGGCCACCAGGCCCAGGATGGCTGCAGCACCACCAATGTACTGCAAAGTAGTGGCAACAGGCTTGGGGACAAATATTCTTACTCCTGATTAAAAGACAGTGAAAGATATTTAAAATGAATTCCCCATGTAAATAAGAACTGAAAAAATCATTGTTAAGTATTTAATTGTAAGTTACACTTAACAAAAAACGAACTACTATCCTAAAAAGAAAATTCTACAAAAAAACTCAAGGCAGAATTTGGAAGAAGGCCCTAAATGCTAATGCACACACTGTCAGAGAAGAGCTGGGAATAAGGAGCGAGTAGGCAAGAGCTGGTCTGAGAACAAGCACAAAGGCTACCACTGCGTGGCTTTGGCCAACTCACAGAAGCTGTGGGGAGGCATTTCCCAAGTGAGTGAGAATGCTTTCCTAGGTAACGTTGGGAATGAAATGGGGGAAAGCAAAAGCATTTTAACCCCATGAACTGGGGAGTGGGGCGGAGAAGTCATCCCGGTGAGGATGAAGGATTCCCCATGCAGAAGCCAAGCAGAGCACACTACCGACCATCACTCAAAGCTCCTCCTAATTATGTGATCTGAGTAAATAGGTCATCAGTAACCCCAGAAAAGCATAATTATGTGGAAACACAGTACTGAAACTAATGTGTCAATAAAAAAAAAAAAAAATTCACATTTATTTCTTAACCTTATTTTTTAAAAAAGGCATTGTTTGAATGTCTGTCTACTCAGCAAGATTTGAGCTTTTTAAAAATAAAACTAATATGGATTACTTTCTATGTGCTTTGCAGCATTTATTATACTTTCATATATTATGGCACTGGATTTTGAAAACTACCTTCTAAGGTAGTGAGGGCCAGTATTACTAGCTTATAGATAAGCAAACTGAAGTCCACAGCACTCCAAATGCTGACATAAAGCCACACAATGACAGAACAGGGGCTAGAACCTAATCTCTGAATGCCTCATCCACAGATCTTCCTACTCTCCCAGGGCTACTGGGAAGGACACAGAGAAATGCTCAGCAAATATTTGAACTGAATAAAGAAAATCTGCCATGTACTTGAGCACAAAGGACACTTCTATCAATGCAACGTGGTCAAAAAAGAAGATAAAGTTATGTGTACATCACTGAGACAATAAAGATTGCCAAGGATTGATAAACATGTAGGATTCTGACAGGCACAACACTTTTGTTACTCTAAACAGGAACCAATATTACAGTACTGACTTGCTCATTAAAATATATAATCACTGCTCATGAATTTTGAATGACCCGATTTATGTCTCAGATTCTACTTGGCCAAAAAAATCAAGTCTTTTTAAGCAGAACTCAGGCAGAAGGATCTGCAGATCACCCACCAGCTCTAACTTACTACTGTGGAGCCCCAGTGCTTATACTCAGGAGCCCTTCTTGCTAGCTCATCTCCAAGTAACAGAGGCACTCATGAGACCCACCACTGCTGCACATGATCACAAAACAATCATCAGTATTTCTAAGTCTGTATGTCTGTCCCTTAAGGGAGTGTGAAATTATACACAAGTATGTAGTCAGTGCTCATCAGTTAAAAGAGGGAAAAAGTTAATGGGATTTTATAAAAGGTTGTAATTTTTAAAGTTGACTGGAGTTTGAGATTGTTACATTAATCTCTAAATATTGAGAGAACGTTACAGGTCAGCACTATAAAGTAACAACGTAAATACCACCCCTGCTGTGAGGAAAGTGATTGCAGAACTGCAGGCAAGTAAAGAAGTTTGGAACAACAGAGACAATGCGACTCACCCAAGTACCCAATCAAGGTAGCCCCAACTGTCCGGGCAGGTCCACTCAGGTGTCCTGCTGAATTGTGGATCACCTTCACAGGAGTGGCATTCTCATGGGAGGAAATGCCTAACTGAAGAACAGGAAAGGAAAACATGTAACTATAGAAGAACAGTCTGAACATTTTGACTGGTAAAGAAAGAACAAGATTTGATTAGTGACATGTCTTCTCTCTCTCCCTTTACCAGAACATTAAAAGACATGAGCATTCATGTTTTTTAATGTATAAATACTTCCAAAGGTGTGGAAACTAATAGAAATAAGTTAAATATAATCTACGGAGATAAAGATGGTGAGGGGGACTTGGGAAACAGCTTCAGGGGTTTTTCTGAATGAAATTCTGTCAGTTATAAGGTTCTCATGACTCACTGCCTCACAGTGTCTCTCATCAGTGAACATGTATTTGCTTAGGTCTATATCCAAGTAAACATCACACAGATGTATCCAAGAGTTTACAGACAAAACATGAGTACATAAAAGGAATGTTAAATTTTGTGCACACATTCAATGTGCTTTCAAAGCAAATACTAGCACAAGACTTTCTTTTGTTACCTGTAGAACTACATTTATGTATAGTTTATGTTCCTTGGAAGATGGTGGGTGTATTTACAGACAAACCTCTGCTCAAGAGTCATCAACACTTACTATTCCCAAATCCTTTCTTCCAGTCTCTTGATTTCCATCCCTCAGGCTTTGCCTCTAATCAGCCAAAACAACTCTTCAAGCCCCTTGATGACTTCCACCTTGCTGAACCCAAAGTCCTCAGTTCTCAGTCCTAATCTTTCTTGACTGTTCTAGTACATTTGCCCCAGTGAATCACGGATTTCAGCAACTCCAGAGTTCTCCTAGCTTTTCTCCTTTCTTGCTGGCTGCTACTTCTCAGTCTTCCGTGCTGGTTCTTCATCTCCCCAACTCCATGACCCTGGGACATCCCAGGTCTCAGTCTGTAAACCTCTTCGCTAGCTACATCTGCACTTTGGTGAATGCATCTAGTCTCATGGCTTGAAACACTACCTCTGAATATCCGTAACATTCAAACCTCTTCCCTGGATCCAGATTCCTTTTTCCAATGGCAAAGATCTCTAATATGCTTCTCAAACTTCTCCGAAACATATTTCTCAATATTCCCTCCCCAAACTACTCTTCCTGTAGTTTTCTTCAGATCAGAAAAAGTAACTCCATTTTCCCAGTTGTTAGAGCAAAAAACCTTAGAGTTATCCTTGACTACTTTCTTTCTCACATTTTACATCCAATCACCAAAAACTGTTAGCATGATCTGCAACTATACCTCAAATCTGATCACTTCCTAGCACGGCCACTGCTATCTGGAGTACCCCACTCTAACCACCATCATCTCTCCTATGAATTATTGCACTGGCCTCAAAACTGGTTTCCCTGCTTCTACCTTTTGCGTCCCTTCAATCTATTCTCAGAAGTCATAGTGATCCTGGTTAAAAAATAAGCCACATTCCATTCCTATGTCTGGAACCCTATAGTGCTTCTCATCTCACTCAGTTAAAGCCAATGCTTTTACAACTTCTTATAAGTCTGAACAATGTAGTCCCCATTAACTATGTGAGTTCCTCTCTCCACCCAGGCCTCCTGTCATTTTGCTTTATACACATCTGCGTCTCTCACAGGCATGCACTTTCCTCAGGGCTTGTATTTCTGGAATACAACCCCCTCCCCTTACAGGTACATCCCATTCTCCATAGGTATATGCCGTTCTCCACAGTCTCATGACCTGCTGCCTCATCTCTTTCAAGCATGCTCAAATTTCACTTCTTAGTGAAATCTTCCCTCACCTTCCTACTTAAACCTACAAGCACTGACATAAAGCCACACAATGACAGAACAGGGGCTAGAACCTAATCTCTGAATGCCTCATCCACAGATCTTCCTACTCTCCCAGGGCTACTGGGAAGGACACAGAGAAATGCTCAGCAAATATTTGAACTGAATAAAGAAAATCTGCCACGTACTTGAGCACAAAGGACACTTCTATCAATGCAACGTGGTCAAAAAAGAAGATAAAGTTATGTGTACATCACTGAGACAATAAAGATTGCCAAGGATTGATAAACATGTAGGATTCTGACAGGCACAACACTTTTGTTACTCTAAACAGGAACCAATATTACAGTACTGACTTGCTCATTAAAATATATAATCACTGCTCATGAATTTTGAATGACCCGATTTATGTCTCAGATTCTACTTGGCCAAAAAAATCAAGTCTTTTTAAGCAGAACTCAGGCAGAAGGATCTGCAGATCACCCACCAGCTCTAACTTACTACTGTGGAGCCCCAGTGCTTATACTCAGGAGCCCTTCTTGCTAGCTCATCTCCAAGTAACAGAGGCACTCATGAGACCCACCACTGCTGCACATGATCACAAAACAATCATCAGTATTTCTAAGTCTGTATGTCTGTCCCTTAAGGGAGTGTGAAATTATACACAAGTATGTAGTCAGTGCTCATCAGTTAAAAGAGGGAAAAAGTTAATGGGATTTTATAAAAGGTTGTAATTTTTAAAGTTGACTGGAGTTTGAGATTGTTACATTAATCTCTAAATATTGAGAGAACGTTACAGGTCAGCACTATAAAGTAACAACGTAAATACCACCCCTGCTGTGAGGAAAGTGATTGCAGAACTGCAGGCAAGTAAAGAAGTTTGGAACAACAGAGACAATGCGACTCACCCAAGTACCCAATCAAGGTAGCCCCAACTGTCCGGGCAGGTCCACTCAGGTGTCCTGCTGAATTGTGGATCACCTTCACAGGAGTGGCATTCTCATGGGAGGAAATGCCTAACTGAAGAACAGGAAAGGAAAACATGTAACTATAGAAGAACAGTCTGAACATTTTGACTGGTAAAGAAAGAACAAGATTTGATTAGTGACATGTCTTCTCTCTCTCCCTTTACCAGAACATTAAAAGACATGAGCATTCATGTTTTTTAATGTATAAATACTTCCAAAGGTGTGGAAACTAATAGAAATAAGTTAAATATAATCTACGGAGATAAAGATGGTGAGGGGGACTTGGGAAACAGCTTCAGGGGTTTTTCTGAATGAAATTCTGTCAGTTATAAGGTTCTCATGACTCACTGCCTCACAGTGTCTCTCATCAGTGAACATGTATTTGCTTAGGTCTATATCCAAGTAAACATCACACAGATGTATCCAAGAGTTTACAGACAAAACATGAGTACATAAAAGGAATGTTAAATTTTGTGCACACATTCAATGTGCTTTCAAAGCAAATACTAGCACAAGACTTTCTTTTGTTACCTGTAGAACTACATTTATGTATAGTTTATGTTCCTTGGAAGATGGTGGGTGTATTTACAGACAAACCTCTGCTCAAGAGTCATCAACACTTACTATTCCCAAATCCTTTCTTCCAGTCTCTTGATTTCCATCCCTCAGGCTTTGCCTCTAATCAGCCAAAACAACTCTTCAAGCCCCTTGATGACTTCCACCTTGCTGAACCCAAAGTCCTCAGTTCTCAGTCCTAATCTTTCTTGACTGTTCTAGTACATTTGCCCCAGTGAATCACGGATTTCAGCAACTCCAGAGTTCTCCTAGCTTTTCTCCTTTCTTGCTGGCTGCTACTTCTCAGTCTTCCGTGCTGGTTCTTCATCTCCCCAACTCCATGACCCTGGGACATCCCAGGTCTCAGTCTGTAAACCTCTTCGCTAGCTACATCTGCACTTTGGTGAATGCATCTAGTCTCATGGCTTGAAACACTACCTCTGAATATCCGTAACATTCAAACCTCTTCCCTGGATCCAGATTCCTTTTTCCAATGGCAAAGATCTCTAATATGCTTCTCAAACTTCTCCGAAACATATTTCTCAATATTCCCTCCCCAAACTACTCTTCCTGTAGTTTTCTTCAGATCAGAAAAAGTAACTCCATTTTCCCAGTTGTTAGAGCAAAAAACCTTAGAGTTATCCTTGACTACTTTCTTTCTCACATTTTACATCCAATCACCAAAAACTGTTAGCATGATCTGCAACTATACCTCAAATCTGATCACTTCCTAGCACGGCCACTGCTATCTGGAGTACCCCACTCTAACCACCATCATCTCTCCTATGAATTATTGCACTGGCCTCAAAACTGGTTTCCCTGCTTCTACCTTTTGCGTCCCTTCAATCTATTCTCAGAAGTCATAGTGATCCTGGTTAAAAAATAAGCCACATTCCATTCCTATGTCTGGAACCCTATAGTGCTTCTCATCTCACTCAGTTAAAGCCAATGCTTTTACAACTTCTTATAAGTCTGAACAATGTAGTCCCCATTAACTATGTGAGTTCCTCTCTCCACCCAGGCCTCCTGTCATTTTGCTTTATACACATCTGCGTCTCTCACAGGCATGCACTTTCCTCAGGGCTTGTATTTCTGGAATACAACCCCCTCCCCTTACAGGTACATCCCATTCTCCATAGGTATATGCCGTTCTCCACAGTCTCATGACCTGCTGCCTCATCTCTTTCAAGCATGCTCAAATTTCACTTCTTAGTGAAATCTTCCCTCACCTTCCTACTTAAACCTACAAGCCTGTCTCTTTCCCCCTCCATTTGATTTTTCTGCATAGCACTCTTTACCTTCCAAAATGTGTATAATTTAGGTTCTTAGTTATTATTTTCTATTTCTTCTACTAGAATGTAAGAACTGTAAAGGCAGGAATTTTCTTTATCCACTGTTATGTCCTGTACAAAATGGCACCTGACACATAGTAGGTGATCCATAAAAAAAGTTAAGTTATAGTCTTAAAAACAGCAATTGTTTTTAGTTTCTGATGTTTAATTTCTTAATTGCCAATGAAAATATAAGAATATAAGCCATGCACTAAGAAGGAAGTTTTTCTAAGTTAAGCTAAATATTTAAATATATTTTGGCTTAAATGCAAAGCCAAAGAAACTAAATATAGACAATACATGAGAGGCAATGATATCAGCTACTACTCAGACTTGGGTGGTACCCACGACGAAACTGAAGCATCTTTCTAGTGAGAATCAGCCACAACTTACCAGGAAATCATTCTGCTTACCTGCTTAGCAATGGCTTTGCTGTCCAATTTGTTGTAAACTTTCCGAATTCTTGCCACTGTCAGGGAAGACACAGAGAGTGTATAGAGGCCAAATGACACCTTTTCCTCTGGTACTAATGACACAGGAGATGGGACGACACCTTCGGATTTTGCATCCTTACCTTCAAAAAATGAATAATCCTTCTAAAAATCATCAGTATTTCTCCTTTTCCTAACACAAATGTTTTATTCTTAGTAACATTTTAAATCAGTAGACTTCAAAATCTACTAAAGAGGAACAAGGGAGCTGAATTTAAAAGCTATCTTATTTCATTTTCAGCTCTTCATTTATTTAGAAATAGAAGTCATCTAGTCATAGAACTTTAAATTCCAAGTTTTACTCTTAAAATATGCTTACCATGTAGCATAAAAGGAAAGAGTTTTAACTGTTATCAAACAAATCACACACTTCCCTCAAGTTCAAAGGAAAAAGAATGACAGTGAGTGGAATGAGACCGGCGGCACTCTGTGTCCTCGCTGGTGAGACCCTCACATATGCCTCTCTATGTTCCTCCAAACAACAAGGCAGGGTAGTTAAGAACACATGTTTTGGAGCTAGATGGCTTACATTTCAATCTGCTTTACCACCTGAAGATGTGTGACCTATGAATCTCTGTGCCTCAGTTTCCTCATCTACAAAATGGGGATGATAACAATAGTACCTAAGGTCCAGTGCTTCAAGGAGATGAATAAATACATGTGAATGGCTCAGAACAGCTAAGGCCTTCATGCACATTAAGTTACTTGGAACATATCACAGTGCTCTGTAAGTGGTAGCTTTTATTAGACACTATCAAAACCATGAACTTGAGTGAGAGGCGAATTACTGAGCCATAGGATTTTACCACTGACAATACAGTCACAGTAACTCTTCTGAGAACTTGGACAGAATGAGAACTAGGGAATGGAGACATCACGGGAAGGAATGCTAGAAAGGAATCGTAGCTTAACATCAGTTCCTTTGTTTCTTAGTTCCTTTTGGGAGGGAGGATAACAAGCAGTGGACTGTAGGAGTAAGGGAAAGAGGAAAACTGATGTTAACTGGTCTATCCTTAAGATTGTGTGTGTGTTTTGTGGATCTGTCCTCCCTTCCTTTGACCAGAGTACATACACACTTGAAACTGCTTCATGTAATACAAAAAAATTATAGAAAGAGAAGGTTGAGGTTAGACTTACAGAAAGTATACACCTACATCTTGGATCCAGTAAGAGAAATTGGAAAATTAGTGATCAAGCATGAAGACAAAAGTCAAGAAAGTACAGTATGATCAGCAGAAGAGAGCATTTTGAATAGGAGCAACGGATAAATAATATGCTAAAGAAAAGGTGAGGAGAAAGCCCTTTTATTAAGATAAACAATGTGTAACCTTATATACACATATGCACTTACTCATGCATCTACGCTGCAGTTGAGATTTATAAAATTTTAAGAACAAAGAATAAGTTACTCACATGGCATACATACAGCCTGAAAGCTCCCAACATAATTTGGTCCTAGTTCATAAATGGTAGTAACATTTGAAGGAGGTAAAACTTCTTCCAGAAAATGTGTGGGTCCCAGGCGCCAAACCAATGAAGCAATTTGGCGTTGGGCAGGTGGAGTACCAATGTACGCATAGACTGTGCTAACCACTGGGGGATTTGCAGAACCGGACCCCCCAGGAGTACTGTGAACATAATGAAGCTGTAAAGAAAATGAAAGAAAATGTGTGAAATATGACAAAAGGAAAAACATTTTCCCCAGGGAAATAACCACTGGTTGTATTTTCATTATCCCAACAAGGTCATACAACTTTACGAATGTGCAAAAGCAATTGGGCTGAAAAACGTAAGGGCAGACCAGGATTCTGGAAGTCAGAAATTTGTTATCCAACTCTCTAGTACAGATATCCTCCCTAATTCTAGAAAGGTCCACATTCAAACATAAGGATACTGTTATTGTCTGGTTGGTTTACAAATCAAATTAATCACGTTTTGATGAAATTTTTTGGGGGGTTGATATAAAAAGACAGCTTTCCAATTATGGGATTTAAGTAGTCTGAAATTAGATATGTTACCTTCAGTGTGAGTCTGTTAAATAAAATTATTCATGAAAAGTGTTTTATAATTGGTAAAGTGCTATAAAAAATTAGAAAAATGAATAGTCTATTATACATTATAATAAGTACACATATTTCAATCTCAATGTAAAATACATTCCCAGATTTGAAATTACACTACTGTTTACTGACAAGGTGCTTAAAAATATAAAGAGTATAAGAGAGAAGGAAATCAAGTAGTTCTTGTGGTAGAGGGAACTTTCATCACTTGGTGGAATGGAGGACACTTCCATCGATTGTCTGGTCATTACACATCCTGGCTCCAAATCACATCTATTATTCCATGTATTAAAGAACAGATCCTGATGATGTTAATAGTATGAGTGTGAAGACCAAAAGTTCACAGGACTGTGATTTCTTAGGCACAGTGATGATGACAATGTAAATATATCAAGAAAAAATCTCCCATGTCTCGAATCTAGAAGCCGAGGACATTTATATTTTCAATAATACTAAAAACAGCAAAGGGGCAACCTACTGGGGAATCTACAAACCTATTTCAAATGCAATCATGTATACATAAGAAAAATAAATTACTGTCTGCACAGACTGCAACTGGGTTTATCACATTGAAACATAATGTCACAATAACAGCATTATGCACTCAAGGAAGATGCTGACTTCACTGCTTTTTCCACTTTAATTCACACAAAAAGACAAACTTTGCCTTTGCTGCTTCTGAGCACTATCACTGTAAAAATGCGTACCACATTTTAGAGGTTAAAGAATTTGAAGATTCTGAGTTCAGTAGAAAGTAACTAGCAGCATTCACCCTGATTCAAAAAGGAACTCCCAATTCTTTACTGGTTACTTCAACTTCCTTGTCTCTCTTCTGACTACTATGTAATAGCTACCTAGGTTAATGTAGGCACTCATTCCATCAACACACAGTAAGGGACCACTACTTATCAGGGGCTGATCAGGGTCATCAGAAAACAAAGACAATAAAAACAATGCAGATCCAAAGTCCAGAATCTACTGGACTGCATACAGTAATAACAATGAAGTGACAAAATAGCATGTTCATCATTTATTTAGGCATTCCTCAACTGGTGCAACTATGTGGCAGAGTGCTGATTCTCCAGTGAGGTAACAGGAGTTAGTTAGCCACACGACTCTAATGGATTGGTCTAATGGGTATGAAAGGTTAATTTAAAACAACGAGAGTAACTTTTAAAAATCCCTGCAAACACACACACACAGACATAAACACACCCAGCCCTAAACTACCCTGTAAAGCAGCTGAGATCTACGAGCACAAGTGTGTTTACCTTCACAGTGCTGACAAGCTGTCCATCAATATAGAGGGCCGCAGTACTGTTTTTCAGCATGCCTTTGCTCATCACCAGAACCAGATGATGCCACTGGCCCTCAACTATAAGTTCTCCACATCGAAAGCGAGCACAGCATGGGAGAATTTCATAAAAAGAGGATTCTTCACTAAAATCATCAACTAAAATAAAGAGGGCAAAAAAACTCAACATCATCCTCATTCTAACAACCATTCATATCTAGACCTTGACTTTATGTTAGAATAACATGATAATATAAATGAAAACACCCTGTTTTTCAATAACTAACTGGGGTGATAAGTACAAACTGGAAGATATTTTGCTTTCTTTTGCTCCAGATACAGTTATAATCAAAATGAAGTTATAATGGCTAATAAAATAAGAACTAAAATAAAACAGATTAATAAAGTTAAAATAGACAACAAAAAGAGACGAATTGATTATTATTACCTGTCATGGTCTGTTTATAAAGGTCTGTTCAAATTCTAGAACATGCATTTGATTATAGCATTGGTTAGAAAAAGAAGCAAAAAAAATTAACTTTATTCTTGCTCTATGCTCTGCTCAATGATACAAGTGGCTAATGAACTGTTCTTAGTCTGTGGTTTCACTGCCCTGACCCTCTGCTTGACAATAGCTGGAGGTAAAGAGGTGATTTATGGAATGGAGAGGTACTTGTTGATCTAAGTTTCCTGCTTCACCAGAATGTTTTCTAACATTCTGCAATCACTTCCTGACTACAATCTGGCTTCTCTCTGCTACCCAGTAGGCTGACAGATCATGCTAGGAAATAATGGGTTTATATTAATTTAATCTTAATGTTAGGCTAATTAAAAATTACCTTTTCTAAGTATTCAAGAAGGGGTGGGATAGCAGTGAAAATCTGCATGTTAAAACTCATTCCTAGCCCTCCACCCAAAAAATAAAAAAAAACAAGCTAATCTGTAACCATGTCACTTAAAGCAAATCCACCATTTTACAGTACAAACTCTTATAAGTGAATATACCACACGTTAAAAGTTTAAATTATATGTAGAACTACAAATATACTATTAATTTCAATTTTGGGAATCTGAAAATTATCTGCATATACTGAAATGCCAAAATTATATTTTAAAATGACAATTAAGAATATACACTATTGATGAGTTAAGACTACTACAAAGGCAGAATCTTATCTACAGATGACCTAATGTAGAAACAACTGAGTAACAACTAGGCACAAAGTAGTGTCAAACAGCTTTGCAAGGTCTGGTGTAATGAATCAAGGAATATTAAAAATAAGATAAAAGGCATGGGTGAAACTAGGAACCCCCCCACTCCCGCCTCCTTTCCCTGATGAATATACTGAAACTTCTCGAGGATTGTAGAAGATACTAGTTGTAAAAATTCTCTGAGTCTCTTACTCTGACTCAGGCTTACAATTAATTCATGTCTACCATTCAGTGGTATGTGTCAGGATATTGTGGTGAGCCAACTGGTTTCTGAGGACTCTTAATTAGCTAGGCATCTTAACCAGCTACAGCTGTTCAAAGGATGGAATCTTACAGTATTAACATGATTTACAGTACTCATGTATGTTACTGTAACTTCTGGTGATATATGGGCTATGATACTCTTGCAAATTATATTCAGTCAAAATGATAATTTGAAAATATTCTCATAGTTCATTGAAATACCCCTAGATCCATTCCTTAACTTTCCCAATAAATTCTATACTCTTTCCAAATTTTCCATTATTATTTACTTTTCTCACTTCTTCCCTTTTAAACCATCTATATATTTTTCCCTTTATTTTTCTTCTCACTCATTCATTTATATTTTTTAATATTTGTGAGCCTAATATGTGCTAGGAACTGTTTTAGGGGACATGGCTACCTAGATTACAAATAACACTGGGTGTAGGAGCTTACAGTTCCAGCATGGTAGACAAAACAAAGAATTAAAATCCATGAAGTCCAGATAAATGATAAAGAATATTAAACAGGGCCTATGACCAGAGGTGTAGGGAGAAAGGGAAGATCCAAAGAATATTAAGGGGGCAGAATACATTAAGACTTAGTGGAAGGAATGGTATTTTCAAGGTTGACTTAGGGTTTCTAGCTGGGCTAAATAGCAGTACAAGACAGGACAACAGGAGATGCAGGTTTTGTAAATAAGAAACATTACAGAGATGTTTACAGTAGATTATTCATACGAAGATGTCTAATATGCAGTTGGAAATATGAGGACAAAGCCTGGAACACACAAAAATTTTAATTTCAGAATCCCTGAGACAAAAAGATATAAAGCTAACAGAAACATGTTTTTTTTTTCTCATGAAGAGCAGGTTAAGTGCAAAGATTGAAGACTACTATCTTTGCAGGGTGCTGATTTTAGGGGAAAGATGGAAGAGAAAGCTGTTGAAGGAAACTGCAAAAAAGAAGTCAGAGAAATAGTGAAAGAACAAGAGAGTAGACATCCTTAATTGCAAGACTAGAGACAGTTTTAATTAGGAGGAAAATATCAATGGGACCAAATAACACAAAAGAGGCAAATAAAGTATCCTAACAAGAATTTTAGAGCAATTACTGTATTGATGCCTAATTTTGTGCTACATGATGAGGAACACCGAGAAGCCCTAAAATCTAATTGGGGAGCTAGTATTCATATTTAATTATTATGTGAATACCAACCACATGTGAAGCAATATATGGTACTTAGTTAAGACAAAATTAGAAGATGATAAAGAAAAGATGTATATTTATATATAAATGCTTATATTCAGAGCAGATAAAATTCAGTAAGTTGAAATTTATATTTTATGTAATTTACACCATTAAGGAAGATCTTCAATGTTTTGAGTTTAAAGTTCTATCGTATAGCAATGTAACATTATGACATGTTAGAGAGAATTAGAATTGTTAAAGAGTATGTATTAAGTCTTGAAGGTAAGTGATGGATAAAGTAATTAAAATGTTATTGTGTCTAGCACAGAGTGGCACATATGGTAGGCAGGTGCTCAATGAATATTTATTAGTTAAGAAGAATTCACAGCCAATGAAAATCCTTACTAAAATATATCAAACAAGCAATCTGCTTTCCTAGCAAAAGCTGTTATTTTTTGGCAAGTAGAGATGAATCCTTATTTTAGGAGCTCTCTCCAGTGTTTTCTATCTAAGTCTCTTTTGCAAGTGCCTTAAAATTCACTGGGAAACAATATTTAAGATTTCACATAACCTGTTCTACCCTGTAATTTAAAATGGAAAACAATTACTAGCTGTATCTTAAACATGAATATTCAAATGAAGTTTAATACTTTTAATAAATCACAAGAAGCAAAAGAAGATACTGACCATAGTTTTGGAGTAGTTCCTCTTTGGTGGAAACAATCAGAGATCGGTCTTTTGCTGACAGAACTATCGCAAGGCACACGTAATGCTGCTCAGAGGAATTTGCTCGGCGCACAACAGTAAGAAGTCTGACAGGGTGGTTATTTGGGGGAGAACTAAAATGTTCAATACAAAACCAGCTAGAATAGCTTAAGCCAGATGGAGGAGGGAAAAACCTTTCACCTAAGAATAGAAAAATAACAATGGAAGAGTTTGTGCCAATTTTTATTCACATTTTAAAAAGCAGCTAAAAAAGCAATGAACTCTAAGAAATATATATAATCTCCTAAAAAAACAACCTCATAAGCAAAGAAAGTAATAATTACCGGAACCAATGCCACTGATCACAGCACAATCAGTGAGACCTGTTGTTACGGCATTGTTTGTAGGGGCGTTATGAGGGGCCAAACTGGGCAAGAAGAGGCAGCTATTAAAGAAAAGATGAGACATACATATTAGAGACCAACTGTTTCCAACTCTTATCATTATGCCCTCACTACAGTGAAATGAACTGCCATTTTTCAAGGGTAACTAGAGATAGGAGATCATGGAATACTGGTTGCCTAACAAAATCCCTCCCTTCTTTTAATTATGAGGGAGTAGCAAAAGATAAACATTAAAAATTTCTAATAGCATCATTTTTCATTTAAATTACAATTTACAAAGTATATTTATATACCTTATTAAATTATAATTTAATAAGTATAATTTACATATAGTAAAAATGCATCAATGTATATAACTCTTGTTTAAGACATTGGAATAATTTCATAACCACAGAAAAATTCCCTTGTGTCCCTTTTCCAGGGAGTCACTCTCCTGTTACCACTGTCTGATTAATTTTGCCTATTCCCAAATATGTTTTAATCCACTGTTTGGTAAGAACCCACGAAAATGTTCTTAAAATACAATTTGTAGTTTTAGGTCAATGTATAAGAATCCCATAAACAACCAGTATAGACAGAGATCTGTTCTATTAGCATCTGTGTCTATTTCAAGGCTGAAGGACTCTAAAACACTATATATATTCTTCATTGCTTCTGCTACTAGAGCCTTTTCTGCCACTTGAAATTGATAGTCACTGGATATTTACAATCTATAAGATACTAAGCTAGGTACTTAAAGGGAAAGAAGATGATAAAACCCAGTTAAAGAGTTTTTAATCTAACTTCCACTTGCATATTATCTATAAATTTACTATACTGAATCAGGGGTTGGCAAGCATTTTCTGGAAAGTGCCAGACCATAAGTATTTCACATATTGCAAACCAGATAGTCTCCACAACTCAACTCTGCCACTCTACTATGAAAGCTGCCAGAGACAAGACATACAAATGAGTGTGGCTCTATTACAGTAAAACTTTATTTACAGAACATAAAACAAAATTTCCAAAAACAGATCTGGGCCATGAGTCTCAGACTGCTGACTCCTTTACTACATCAATTTATTTAGTACAATAAATAATTAAAAATAATTTAATCTAAAAATCTTAAAATAACAGGCTCAAAGAACTCATCGTTTGAAAATATATAGCATTATAGTATACTTTAATCAGTAGATTTAAAACCAAAGATCTATTTGTCAAAGGCAAGCATGAGGCATAAAATAATAAGGCTTTGCTACCTTGAAAATTCCTTACCCAAACCCTTCAAGGGATGTGTCAAACTCAACAAAAGCTGGAGTAACTGATGACCCATGAAGTCTGATGTCATGTGGGGTTGTCATGGAGACCAGACACTTTACCCTGGTCAAAGGTACAGTACTTCCTTCTGCAGATTTTACCAGGCTCTTGCTTATCCGGTAATGGTTATCTTCATGCAAGCTGAAAACATTATCAGAACCCAGACCTTCCACAGATGTGATCATACTACCTGTTAAGTCAAAGAAAATCTCTTGGGAAAAATCTCATGTTGATTGCTAAAATAATGACATTACAAAGCTGACTTATTTTGAAATACCACTCTTCAGTTTGAAAATACAATAATTTTAAACACCAAAGCTATTATCCAGTTTTAATGTACTTTACAGTAATTTTTAAACTTAAATAGCATGTGTTTCCTTTTTTAGTTATTACTAAAGTAATAAACACATGGCAAAAGTATGGGAAATACAGAGTAGAAATAATAAAAATTACCAGTAACCATTATCTAAGGGATTGCTACAGTGTACTTTTATTATAAATTACATGTATAATGAACGTATTTTTGATTCACTGAATGTTTGAAGTATTAAATGTTTATAAAACCAGACTTTTCTATCACAAAATTATTTATTATTTCTCTTTGAGAAGGAAGTAAAATATCCTACAAGCATTATAATAGAAAGAAACAGGTCATCTTTCTCATAAAAAATATCATAAATAGCAGAAACTTGTCTCTCCCATCTTACCCCATTTTTAGGTCTTCCATTAAAACTATTAAAATTAAATGTAATAACAAAAGTGCTTAAATTTAAAAATACCTATATGCATATAAACAGTAATCATTTCAAGAATTAAAAGAAAAATTTTTAATAAACTTCTATTTTTCAGGAATAATTACAAATGGAGAAAATATTCCCTCTCAAGATAAACTACATAAATGTAACTATTGCCCTCTTAAATGTGCTAAGCATTCAGGCCACCATAAGAAATATTTCAATATTCTTTTAGAGAAAGGAACTCCTTTTATTTCTACTATTTGCAAAGGAAATCACAATTCAATTCTAACTATGTAAAGTACAAAAAAAAAACAACAAAAATACAAATCTACATTATTTGACATGACATACATTAATCGACATGAAAACCTGCAATACTTCTGTTTTCCAATATAACTGTGTTGGGGCTAAAGAGATCTTAAAAGTTTCCAAAATACAGTATTCACTAGTCACTGATAATAATCTGCAGGAAGAAAAATTAAGATTGAAATAATGGTTGGAGGTTGTCTAATCCCTGATTCTCACCTGAAAAAAACCAGGGGTTGAACTCAATGATCACTGCATCCTTTCAGAGCAGCCAGTCTACTTTTCTAAGTTTATTCTTTCCTGCTGCATTAGTAATGGTCACATCAATCCGTCAAAACAAATGCCTCATCTCTATGGCTAGCAATGATACAGAATGAATTGTAAAGTAAAAAAATGAACCAAAGAACAGGATTAACAATGGCTGGAAATCCAGTGCAAGTGATTCCCATGCACCTGAGCTTTCTACTGAGAAGCCTCCCTCCCTACGGACTCTGCACCAATTCTTGCCAATGTGCTGGGATGTCAAAGCCCACATGCACACCAAAAACACCTCACTTCTAAGTTCACTGATTGCCTTTCCTCCAACGAGCTCTGCTGCTACTTCACTCCAGAGCTATAGTCTGGGGCATGGACTTTTTCTTTGCTCTTTTCACTGCTCCAATTTTGATTGTATTCACTTATCCACCCGACCAGCTTCTCCCAAACCCTCCAGTTCTCTCATTCCTTTCCTCTCACTCCATTTCCTTTTTGGCCTAGTCATTATTTTCCAGTCCAGTGATAAATCTCTTTTATCCCAGCCTATCACTAGCTGCTTGGCTTCACTTCTTTCCGTATCCATACTATACTCTTAGATGTAGCTCAACTACTTTTCTCAGTATTTTTAATTCTGTGTCTCCCTTAGCAGAAACTGCCTAATTAGCAGCAATTGTGCACCTAATTCTCATCTCTTCCAGATTGCTTAATTACATCAATGATTTATTCCCTGGCCCCATTTGTCCCCTTCTTCAGTCAACCAACCACATTTTGTGTTTCTCCATTTAAGTAACAACACACAACAACAAAGCCTTCTCTTACTCTAATAATCAAACTTCTTAAAATAATATTCATCCCCCAGATGATTTTCATTTATAAAATAAACCAAAAACAGGAACTTCAAAGGTCAACTTACTTCTCATCTCTGGCTCATAACTCAGTGAACTTGGTTTGTGGACCCTATATTGTTTTAACAATTTTTTGTCCCAGGCACCACAATTTAATGGACTTGCCAAACGCAAAAATTCCCTAAAGAAGAGAAAAGGCAGTTATTCCTTGAGTGAGAAACATTACTGTGTGGGTTTTTCTTAACCCACCATTAGTTTAGAGACAGTTAAAAAACATAAATCACAAATAAAGTCCAACCATTTTTAAGAAAGTTCCAAACATTTTTATAAAAAAGGAGTACTTTAACAGCAGAGAAAAATTATAAAGAGAGCTGTTTATATTCTGAAAGTGACAAGGCAAATGACTATATTTTTTGTAAGGAGGGACAAGATGACTTACATTATCAAATGTTTGGATATTTTTCAAAATGTTGTTTCATTCCTAAAACTGAGTGTGCTACTTCACTTGCATTAAGAAAGGTTTTATTTAAGTATGTATTTCTTGGATAGTGACACTATACAAGGTATACCCATACTAAGGAATAATACTCAACAAAAAAACAAACTATTGACACATAACAATTTGGACGCATCTCAAAGGCATTGTAAGTTAAAAAAAGCCTATCTCAAAAGGTCATTATGTATAATTTCATTCATATAACATTCTCAAAGTGACCAAATTATGGAGATGAAAAACAAATTAGAAGTTTTGAGGAGCTAGGATGGTGGTGATTAGAGGAGTGGATGAAGCACTAGGGAGGTCTTTGCGACACCCCGATTGTGCGGTGGTTAACATATATCTAGGATAAGTGGATAAGTAACAGAACAGGGACTATAGCAGGTATTGTACCAATATCAGTTTCTTCGTTTTGATGTTATTACTATAGTTACTTAAGATGTGACCACTGGAGGAGACTTAGGAAAGGCTCACAGAACCTATCTGACCTATCTTTACAACTTTCTCTGAATAGCTATTTAAAAATAAAAAATTTAAAGAATTATTTCTTAAAAGAATCCTTATATATGAAGAGTTCTTAAATATAAAGTAGATGCAAATCATAAAAATTTCACTTTATTTTTAAAGGTAAGTGAAGAGTTCACTAGATTCAAGTGGAAGAAATGATCAATGGACAGAAACATCTTTTGTTTACTAACAACGAGATTTATCTGTTTTTTAAGCATTTTGCCTATTATTTTGGTGTGTTTTGTTTTTTGCCCATAGATACCTGAATATACATCTATGAAAGTAAGAACTCTTGAAATTAAGACTCTGGGAACTGCCATTACTAATTGTGGCTTATTTGTATGTGAAAAGGAGAATGTACTGACCTGAGTACCATGGGCTCCAGAGCCTGAGAGGCTAATCGCTCAAACATCCGCTGGAGGGGTGGGTGCAGAGAGTGGTCCTCATCGGCCAGCGCAGCACTACACCGCTGCAGCAGCCGGGCATGAAGCCCCGCTTCACACATGACCTGCTGGTTTCTTTCTGTGTGCACCAGGGATTGTAAAATGTTTGCCACAGCAAGTTGAAGGTCCAAAGCATGCTAGAATTAACAAAGAAATATATGCTACCAGGGCATTCTTAGTAAGATAGGTGATAATTCTCTCCCCATGTAGCACACCTTTTGATAAATAGGTCTCTCCATGCTTCGTGCTACATTCAGATGGATAAGGCAGCTGGCTGAGGGTGATGCAACAACTCCAGAACAGGGCTCGCTAAGCTCTCCCTCTTCTTATTTTACTACAAGCGTAACCAGCTGGACTCCATTCTCTTTCAAGTCTTTTGTATTACATGACTATGTAACTAATGGTATTACTATTTTTGTAGAAATAATGGGTGGAGACTTATTCATGGTGGGTCAGTAACCAGTTTAAAGGAAGGCCTGCTGTTGACATTTGTGACATTTTAGGCTTTAAAGCCCAGACAACACTTGAACAAAATAAGTCACCCAAACTCCAATTCACCCGAACTCAATTGCTATTCAGTCAAAACAGAAAAATAGCCTCCAAGTGATATCTTCAGTCATTTTTCTTTTTGTACTATTTATTAACAATTCCCACTGCTGAGCTGGATTTCCAGAGAAACAGATTTTAGCACCAGATGTCTTGGTTGCATTTGTAACAAATGAACTGTATTCTAAAACATACATATCTACCATTCATGAAGAAAGTTAGGACTCAAACAGAAAAATCTGCTTTCTTTCCTTTACCTACTTAAGTACCGACACATCACCCTTCCCATCTTCCTGGGCCCGCTCCCCTGATCACGCAGCCACACACAGGCCAGTCCACTCCTTACAGACGGGGAAGAACTAACGTCCATGCTTACTTCAGGCTGTGTCACTGACCCAACAGAGGCCAGGAGGTCCAACATAGCGAGCATGGCTCCAGGGTGGATGACGACGGCATCTGAACTCGGGAAAGAGGAAGTTGCCACAGGCAGTTTCAGGTCAGTAGCATTTTTAGGAGGGTAAGTGGGAGGAGTTGAAACAGAATGATATGCATGCCTATAAAAAAGAAGGGTAATTTGGTATTTAATTCTAACCACATTTTCTGTACATTTTCTTCATCTTCTGTTACCTTTATCCACGATAAGCAAAAAAGCCTTGTAATTCATATTTACATTACAAAACACTTTAAGGTAGGAGATAAAAAAAGCAATGTATTACCAATTATTAATGTCACATACAGACAATTTAACTATCAATTCTTTTGGGTTTTTATATGTCTTCACCATTTCCTATTTGGATTGTTTCATTGAAGAATGGCACATAATGACTACTGCTAACACTGCACTATAGTATATCTGAAAGTTGCTAAAAGAGTAGATCCTAAAAGTTCTCATTGTGAGGATAAAAACATTTTTCTTCCCCTTGTATCTGTATGAGATGATGGATGCTAGTGAAACTTACTGTGGTAATCATTTTGCAAGATACATAAGTCATTGTGCTACACACCTTAAACCTACAGAGTGCTGTATGTCAATTATAGCTCAATAAAGCTGGGGGAAAATGGCACCGTACATACTGGAAGATGTAAGAGTAGGTGAAGGCATAGTTAAAACTATAGGAAAGGTGATAATTCTGATAACAGGTGATGAGAGTGTAAGTAAAATCCCTCAAGAGATTTTTATTTTGAAACTACCTGTTTGTTTTTTTTAACCTTTCCTTAAACCATAGGTAAAATAATCAAGACTAACAAGATCAAAGTGGCCTACTTTATAATGGGGTCAACTGAGTCAGGGTTGGCTCAGAATCTTGGCTACCTGACAATGAATATATTAGCATCAAGGAGTTTTCCTTTAGCTTCTTGGAGCTACATTTATTTCCTTTTGCATTATCCTCCCTACCACTGAAAATATTCATCGCAATTTTTAAGAACTTAGAAAGCATGTTTTACACAGTAAGTTTCTTTGAGTTAGAAAGCCTAGACATGTCCTGAACATACATTTCTTCTCATAAATGACCCCCACTTTCTATTTCATATTCTTCTTCTACAATTTATGAGTTTTGCACATTTTGTATCTCAGCACGAGGAAACAGATGCTTGTGGCTTCAGCCTATGGGAGCTCTTTGTTCTGATGAATCAGTTCCAGCTTGATTTGTCTAAGGTGGAGCTCTGTCTCCAAGAGCAGTACAGTTTCAGCTCTCTGGCACAAGAGCAGCTTGGCAAACAGACGCTTTAAGTCATTGATTTAGTAGCAAAGAATTGGCACTGCATGTTTAAAAAAAAACATATCATTCTCTTTTTAAGAGATTCTAGGAAAGTACTGTTTCCTTTATAAAAAAGGACACGGACTCTCCTAGTTTATTTAAAGTCAGCATATCTTTTCACCCACTCATTTTTTCACTCCTTATTTTTATTTTTTTGCTGTTTTTGTTTAGAAAGATTTCATTTCTAAACAAAGGTAGATTTCTAAATGCTTATTACCAATAGTATCCTCTTTCTACATTGCTCCCTTTATCTTTAAAATATTTTAAATTAAATATTTCAGCTATTTTTTAAAATATTTTTAAATTATTCTTTAAAATATATTGTTTTAAATATTCTACCTAGAAAAAAGATTTGTTAATTCCTCTATAATAGGAATCTGTAACCATTAAAACATTTTGTAAAAATTGTTTTCATTACAGACAAGAAAAGCCCAAATTTGAGGAAAAAATAGATTATAGTTATATATTTTAGTTATAGGCCTTCCAAACTATTTGAGTTGGCTGATTTAATATAGATTTGAACTTAAATTATGGATATACAAGGACTTTATGTCTTTGGCAGCCAAACTGTTTACTAATACTAGCTATTACAGTAGTAAAGGTTTTGATCTTAAGAAAATAATATTCTGATACAGGAATTACATTCATCCTCAAACTAGAAAAATATTGCAGACACTATAGGAATCTAAATCATGATTATTAACTAAAATTAAGTCTACTTAACAGGCATCATATAACAATTCTTACTAAGTGACTTAGGTATCAACACAGACATGTATTACTACTTTTTCAATTTAAAAATCATGGTAAGCTTATTAAATGGAAAATTCCCAAGCAAGACCGAACAGTTTGCAAAGACAGTATAAAAGTGACATTTCAAAATTCAGTGAATTTTGTTACAATTACTTTTAAAACCTACAGCAACTGCTACTTGAAATATAAAGACTTATCTACCTCTGTTGGTATATATATTTAAATATTTAAATTCTGAATTTCCTTTGCCTTAATTATCATCAAGTGTGTACAGGCAAGACTAAGTAATGGACACCATGTCTGAATGGTAACTAGTACTTTCCACCCTTTTCTCCATTGCAGACATTCTAGAGAGTCTTGGTTATTACTTTGTTTTCACTTCCTCAAACTCTGATTGAATATTGTATGGCTTTTAATTCTGTTCTAGTAGTCCTGAACAATACTGAAAAATTATTAATTTTAGTTTTCCAAATATGAAGTTTCCTAATTTTTTTCTCCAATTCTTAAAATAGTTAAGAGAAGAATCTCTGGGATTTCACAAGTATCACAAGCTCTGAACTTCCCCAGTATCTGAATACACCACAAGCCATAATAACTAATACAACATTGGTTTCTCCTTTTGCCAACAAAAATATATTTTGCCACAACATGTCCATGAGCTGATATAATTTTTTGAGATGTTTCATAGATATTCTAATTTCAAAAGTTCATATTTGAGAAAAACATTGTATTCTTTATTAGCTTATGATTCTTATCACTGAGCAAAATGTATGTAATCAGACCAGAATGGCAGCCTGAAAATGTCAACATTGATCTTATTATTAGTGTGAACAGTACTGGGAGCATCCTTGAGGTACCATCAACTTGTAAGTCTGATTAGAATTCCCAAGGATAAGAGTCACTCAACTCTGCTGATTCAGTGACAGCTTTCCCCTTAAGTCAAAGACATGGCATTGTTACATGCAGCTGTGTTGCAAATTTGACAAAAGGCCTTAAATAATTCTTTAGCACACAGAAAAAATGCTGTCTTCTCTTTGACAAATTACCATTTAAATAAATAGTAACGTCTGATGGATTTTTTTTTCAAAAATATGTATTCCTTTAATCTACAAATTTCTATTTGAAGTATGATTTTTGGCTAATACTCGAAAGGGTTAAATATTTTTAAAGACAGCAATTGTAAAGCCTTACCATTTACGATAGAATTGTAAATGTGATTTTCCAAAAATTAAAACTATTAGTAATTGAAACTATTTCTAAAATAGTTCTGTGGGGTAGTAGTTCTATGGGATAGTGGATACACATGAATCTTCAAGCAGCAAGAATACCTTCTACTTCATTCTTTAGCAACAGAAAATATACTAGGTGAACTTAATTCTTGAATTAAGAATTGCTCTTAAAAAAATAGTAGTTTTTAAATACAAAATATTGAACAACATTAAATTTAAGACTATTCTGAACTATGCCATGATTTACTGGAAGAAAATGAGCTGTAAGCCCTGGTGTAAATTTAAAAGAAAAAGGAAAATTCAACTCCATGTACCTAATGTTACTATCGCAATACACTGAAATACAGAATCTGTAACAAATTAGTTTTAGTTTATAGTAACTCCAACTATATTCAAGATTCAAAATCTGAATAGCAACAAAATTAAACAACACAGCAGAACCTAAGAACCTCATTTTTAAGGAACCACAATCGAAGAATATTAATACAAGACTTAAGGACTTGACCTTGGTTATGAGGAAAAAAGGGGAAGAAGAGTATTTGGTGCCAACTGCACAGAGTATGACCACTCTTAAGTACAGGTTGCAAATGGAATCTTAAATGGATCTTAATTGTACTCCAGTCGATCAACTGCTGGTTCTTTATATTCATAAATTTTATATATGACATAGACTAGATCAGCTTAGAAAGAGATTTATACAGAACTGATGAAAGCCAACAGCTGGCGTGGGTGTTTTATTCACTTTTTCAAAGGTTGGCTATGACAAGCCTTCTTAACAGCATCACATTTCAACTGGTTGAACCTGGTTGAGAAAATGCATTTCCTTGCCAGCGCTGTGATGCTCACTTTGGAGTAACAGTACAAACCAAAGAATGATGATCCCAACCACATATAAAGGAAAAAGGAAAAGTAGAAAAGTACTCCACCTAAAGGAGCACTAAATCCTCATTTCTAAAGAAACTTTAATAAAAGATATGCCTGCTCTCAAAGCAAAATGTGTACCTTAGTCTATAATACAGCTGAATGACAGAACTCTACATGTCCTTTGTGTCTTCATAGCATCAACACAGTTTACTCTCATAAATGTACTCAGGAGAAGTTGACAATTTGAAAACCTAAAAAAATTAAAAGATCAACTAGCCAAAAAAAAAGGAAGTTACAAAGCACAATAACTATATTAACATATAATTAAGCACAGAAGAAAAAAACCCACACAAAAAAAGATTCACATCTGTTATAAGATCAGTACCTTTTCCTGGACAAAGCTGGTGTACCCCAAGGAGAGGGGAGAGAAGACTCACTTGTCAGGCAAGGAGGGATCTGTTCTGCACGACTACAGACAACAAAACAGACAGGGTGGTTTAGAGAGGTTAGAAGAGAACACCAAGTTGGCAGTTGGTTAGTTTCACAAGAAATACCAGTTAAAAAGTTTAATAAGGAACATCCTCCATTCTCCGCAGGAACAAGGAACAAGACTACAACACATGCACTGAGGGAAACAGAGAAGCATGCTTAAGGCAGGTGCTTATCCACTAAGGTGAACATTTAACACAGAGTTAAACAGAGTGCTCTAGCCCTGTTTCTGACAAAGTGAACTAAAAATTAGGTATACTTAACTAACCAGAAAGTAGAAAACAAGGGAAAAGAGGTTAAATCTAAACATACAAATTTCAATTTTAAACAGCTTATTTCTTGAACACTACACTATCTCATGTTTCCTATAAATTGATAACATAAATGCATTTTTATTTAAAGATGGGAAAAATTGGAAAACAATTTTATTACCTATATTACCTGCACTTTCTTATCTAAGTATTAAGGTCTAAGAAATATCTCAGTATATACTTCAAAGTAGGTATTCCATAGACGTAAAGCCTAGCAGAGCTCTATCTAATAGTTATGTGCTTTATTTATGGGGGCAATATAGAAACAATTGATTTACTTCATGAAATAAAACTATGGTTAACTGCAAAAGTGATAATGGTTGGGACAAATTTGCAGCATGACTACTCAACATGATTTTCAAAGTGGGAATTCAATCGAAAACACAGTGTAAGAACTGAAAGTAAGCTATTTAGGTAAAGGGCACTCCTACAATCTCCCTTATAATGCTAGATTCCCATATCACAGATTTTATCACCATATAATTGTTTATTTAGGTGTCTGTATTTAAGCTAAATGATGGCCATGACCAAGGCAGTCTTGTGCTGAGCTGAACCCTCAAGGCCCAGCACAATTACTTGGCACAGGAAAGGTGTTCATTAAGTACTCATCAACAAAGGAAATGAGTAAATGAATCTGGTGGAGTCTTGAACTATTAATTAATGTCTCTTAGGAAGCTCTATCATTTCTCAACAATTATAAAATGTTGAGAATGGTTATGAATGTTGAGAATAAATCATAAAATACATAATCACAACCATGTTCTGTTGATAAATAGTATCAGTAAGTCTATACCTAATGTTGAAAATAAAGAAGAAAAAGATAACAATACTTAACACCATTAAAGTGACTTCATAGAAACTGTTTCATTAAGTGTATTAAGAATTAACTGACCCTGGGTTTACAAATAATACACAAATGTCCATGTTGGAAAACTTAACATCAGAACAATAGTAATATGCACAAATAAAGTGAAAGACAGGCAAATAAAAGATTCATTTGTTTTCATTTTCATTCAGGTTAACTTATCATTCAAGCCTTAATGTTGAAGTCATACTTAGTACTCCCTTTAATTCAGAGCACAGAGCAGAGCCATACCTGTCAAAAGTATCTGTGGCAACTTTGTAGAGATAAATAAAGAGTTTACTGCAGTGCCGTAAAGTGGGTGACACCGAGTCTATGGAGATCGTGTCTTCCTCTAAAAGTCTTTGAAATGGTTGTGTATTTGAGGGAAAGACATTCATAGGGTTTATTTTTCTTAGGTCTGAAAAGCAGCCAAGAAATCGAACAGCATCTGCCAACTTCTCATACTGAATCTCTGTCTTGAAGAAATGAGAGTTGGCTGGCTCATAGCGCATTGCTGCAGTCAATGTGCAGAACACCGTGTGGAGAAGTTCAAACACTTGATTCTGGTTCACTTTCTCCCAGCCATTCTTGGGTGGTGAGCTCAAAGATCTTTCCATGGCAACAAGCAAGGACGTAATGTACACAAATCCTCCAACTTTCCTAAAAACTGTTCTTGAACGATGGCTTTCTCGAAGGACTGATAGGAGGGCCTATAAAGGAAAGAAAAAAAAAAACCCAAAATTTATCATTCGAATTAAAAAAATAAAATGTCAAAGGAGAACACCATTCTGTGAACATCTGATATATTTGTCATTTATCCAATAGTCCTATGACTCTATAAATTATTTTACTAAAATATTTTACTAATTTAAAAATGCCATATTAAAAGAAGAAAACTTTCATTGACACTACCATATATTTCCTTTGACAGAATAAGGCTGTATCCAAATCCTCGCTGAAAAGCTTTTCCTATGTCTTTGATGGATGACAACATCACTGAATTCATGATTTTTACAAGATAATTTTATTAAGTAAAAGATATATTCTAGTATAATTTTACACAATCATGAACACTTAAGACTGTGCATGTATACAAACTGATTTATTCTAGAAAGGATCAAAGAGATGGTTATGGCAGATAAAACATGAAATATTTCAGTTCATAAAGTGACCATATCCTGATGCTTTGGAAAGAGGAATCACTTCAGAGGACTTAGCTCCAAGCATGCTCTTTCTCAGAATAGCTGTAAATGCTAAGAATTAACACCTGAAAGCCATACAAGTAAAATGATCTTTTACAACTATCAGTTATTTCCTGGACTGTCCACACTAAAAGCAACAAATTATGAAACTATCTCACATAGTTTTATACAGCATTCACTATGTAGTAGGCACTTAAGTGTTGTTATACATTAGCTTATTTAATCCTCTCCATGATCCTATGAATTAAGCACTATTATCCCCATTTTATAGATGAGGAATTAAGGCCCAGTGTGGTTAAATAACTTGCCAAAGAATATATAGCTTACTTAATGGCAAGGGCAGGATTTAAATGCAGGCTGCTGGATTCCCTTGCTCAGGCCCTTACCCATGACACTATACTGCCTAAATCAGCAATATGCAATCTGTTTACAGACCCATGGGCAGCTTTTCCCTGTTTCAGCAACTGGTAACACCACAAGTACCTAATATTAAGACAGAATTTATAATATCCCCAATCATAACATTTAATACAATTATTATTAAAATATCTCAGACATTTATAATGATATTTGAAGAAAGGAAAGGCTAAATATTAATATATATATTTACCATATTGAAATATATTGCTTTAGGAATTAGGAAAATTTTATTGTATGTACCTACACCTTAATTTATTATTTTGAAAGACAGGAACTATGCAATCTGTATATGCAAATAAAATTTAGAAATATGACATATTCTATTACTATGCAACAAGACACTTCCCTTTTAATAGGATTTGGTAATGATACAGTTTCCGTATCCTGTCAGACTTAAAAAACTGTACTTATGCAGGGGGGCCATCAGGAGAGATGAGGCTTAGAACCTCACCCTCCCTGTTTTGAGAGAAATCTTCTGCATCCGTGGATGTTTTGTTGCCCTTGTCTAGCTTGGTTTAATACTTAGTCTATAGGCACAGACCTGATCACCTACATTTGCCCTCTTACAGCACTAAATTATGTTTTCTACCTTTATCTTGCATCTACCTACCACTTCAGCATTTTATTAAAAAATAATAGTAATAAGGGAGAAATGTGGGATTCACATATAAATCAAGTATAAAAATCAAACGAATAATCATATCTGACTCGATTGTTTATAGTTCATGATGCGTGATCAAAACTGAAAGTTTCTGTGATGAATGCCCTTGCACTCTTCACCATGTAAGGACTTATTCACTGTGTAAGACCTTGTTCACCATGTAAGAACTTGTTTGTTATGCTTCAGAAGATTGGAAACTGTTGAGATATAGGCTTGGGGCTGATTAATGACTGTGCATTGAGTCCCCTATACAGAATTTTAATGTTGTTAACAACCATTTGATCAATAAATATGAGAGATGCCCTCTCAAAAA